AGTTCTTCGATGCATTCGACTCTGCGAACAGAGGCGAATCCGTGGAATTCTATGACTAGATACCGGATCTGCCTGATTCATTCAGTTTCGTCCAGTTGGCCGAGCGCTGGCGAGACAGGCCATGCGACGGCCTGGTGAAAAGGGGGCGTGCAGGCTGACATGTGCTGCATTTGCCGACTGGCTTTTCGGTCAGTTTTCTGTCTTCTCATGGTTGTGGATGCGCGTGCCAGGCAACACCCGCTCAGGCCATCGGCGAAGTGCGCCGGCCTAGCCTCAGGTACCCTTGGCAGGAAAAAAGTATTCACGTCAAGCATTTCTCAGAGCACATACATTGTGGTGCTTTGCTATGCTTTTTGGTCAACTTCCTAGATTTATCCTGATCTCGTGCAGCTTGTATTCAGTCTGACAAGGCTGGCATCTCAGCTGCAGACGCCGTGTGAAGCCTTGGATCCGGAACGATCTGACGTGCTCACCCCCCTTGCGTCACCTTCAGCGGTCTCCTCCTCTGCGCATCCTGCCGTGACATCAGCACAGGAGGATGAGCTGCCAGCATGATTCAGGTGATTCAGAGCATTCAAGGGCCTGCCAAGCGGGGGTTACCCTATTCTGTGGTAGCACAGGCATGCATGCATGCATGCCATTTTCCAATACGTTTTACTGGGAGAACAGAACCCTGACTGCACTCGTTTTCTTCTGTTCCGTCTAAGTATCTAGCAGTTTCCCAACACTATAGTATTTTCTAGATAGCTGCAGCTTTTTCCGCTGATTCTGTCAGTGCTCTCTGCGCCTGAGCTGCCATAGTGTTGTTCCTCCTTTTGCAGGATCTAAACCTGACGTATGACAATCTTAAAGCCAGCCTCTGCAGCTCTTGAGGCTATCAGTAGCAGCTGTTACGGTCCGAAAAACCTCTTGCTTCGGATGCTTTGCAGGAGCGTGCAGTCATGGCCCTCCGTGCTGCCATGTTCCAAGAGCCTCCGCAGGCTGGCAACTTGCTAATTTTGCGTGAAGTGTTGCAGCTAAAGTAGAAAGATGTAATGTTCTATGTATTTTTTTCCGCTAACTTCCGGCAATTGCTCATGTCGTCATGGCCTGGTTCTATCCATGAACTGTTTATCCGAATTACGTTCCGCAACCTTCTCTCAGCTCATTTCTGAGGCAGGGCTGCTCCGCTTGGCAATTGCTCGGGCTCGGCGTGCAGGTGTAGCCAAGGAAGAGGTCACAAAGGCTGCGCCTGCACTGTCCTACATTCCTACTGACCCCCTACTGAAATGTCATCTCGCATCAGCAGTTCGGATTCTCGGTCCCGTGGATACCGACACGCATTCTGGAGCATATTGCGCACGCAGGTACATCTTTGCAATCGCAAGGGCTAGCCAGCAGCATTAGGACCTGTTTGTTGGGCAGTCTTTGGACTTTCGTCCGCAGGCCGAGGCTGTCCTGCAAGAAGAGCGAGAGGCCAGCCCAAACAGGGTCCCAAATCTGGTTCGGAGATCTGTTTCGGCTTCCCAGTCTTCATGACTGAATCTTGAATCTTCAAAGGGCGCTTGAGTGGCGTCATCCCTGGCCGAAGTGTTTTAGCCCCAGCATATACAACAGAGTCTAATTGAACAACTCCGACCTTTATACTTCATTGTATTCTTGATGGGTCAAAGGACGATTCCAATGTGTCTTATACTTCGAGGGTCTGTGAACCCTCCGGTGCCCACAGATCGAGACTGTGTAGTCCTCAGTTTGTTTTGCGCGGTTCCCACTTCCGAAGGAATGGGAATTGATGCCAACACCTGTGGGCATGTACGGCAGGTGGAGCAAGCTCTGGAACAACTGCGCCGTGCAGCTGCAGCGCGGGACGTGCGTGCTTTGCGCCGCGCAATAGCCGACTGTGCGGATGCGGGGGCCTCAAATCAGAGGGATCTCAGCAATCAGTAGTCTCCGAACAGTTCGCAGATCTTGAAATGTTTGACCTGCCTTTCAAAGAAACAACGGAAAATAACCGAGGCTGGTGTGGACCAACGGCGCCTGATGCCCGCCTCAACGCAGCTCTGTGAGACATTGGGCGAGGCTTGACAGCAAAGAAGAGCGGGAATAGCGGGAAGACTTCTTTGTACCTGCCTTTTTGCATGCCTTGTTAAGGATGCTTCGTAGCATTTCTGGCATATTTTTGGGGTAGCGCAGGGAATGCGAAGGGGGTGATGGATATCCATGCCTTTGCCTGTGGTGACATCCAAGGAACTTTTGAAGCGTGCGCACCAGCACGGGCTGGCTCTCAGTGTTCTCACAGACTCTTTGGCAAGGTTCAGGGCGCTGTCAGCAAGTGCAATATGTTGTGACAGCTTGAGGCCTGAGAGAGACTGAACGCACTGTGAAGCAGCCCCGTGTCACCTTAGGATCTGGACCGGGAACGTCAGGAGCTGCGCTACAGCCTAGCTGAAAAACGAAGTTGCTTGGAAGCATGCACCGATGCACCGCGCATCTGCGACAAGAGCTCAAACTGAGTTTTGCATGCTTCTCACACACAGAAGATCAAACTTGATGCAGCATCTCCTGAGGGTTTTTTTACAGCCCCTCTGCATGCCAAGGCGGTTTGCGCACTGTGTGCCGTGTACGGCCACCCCTGGCCCCAGAGCTACACTCTGCGCTTCGCAGCCACGCAGGATTAGCACCAGTCCTGAGGCGTGGCAATTGGATTTGCATCAGGGAATCCACTTTTCCAGCGTAGGGCAAGAGGTGCATGGCCAGCCGTCAAAAGGATCACAGGAAGGGCACAGCGGTCAGCAATCTCGTCAGTATTGGTTTCTGAAGGAGCATTCAATGGGATAGCAGACACGTCCGCCGGCCGGCCTCAGAATACAGCTCGTGCTTCTAAAAAAGACGCAGAAGTGAGTTTTATGGCTCCTGCTTAATGAATTTGCGTCGCTACAGGCACCTGCCAGGGCCATCTAAATGCAGATGAGACACGTGCAACACACACCGCTCACTTAACCCTCATGCAGCCTGCTGTCGCAAAGACTCAATGTTCAGGCGAGTGGACCGGCGGACGCTCGAGGCGCAGATTCTTCTGTCTCGTGCCTTCCTTCGCGCATGATGCTCCGAGTATGTCAACGTTTTGATGCGGCCATATGCGGCCTGAGTGGTGGGAACATGTGGGAACATCATAGTCATAAGCATGCATACTTGTAGTGGCCAGTGCGAGGTTGCTTTGGCGAGTGGGAGCTATGCCACGTGCGACTTCAGCGCTGTGCTGGGCCCAGAGAGCACGCAGGCCGGCAGCAGAGGTGTGGTCATCCAAGCAGCCATGTGCTGTCTGCGAATCAGAGGCTGCAGAATCATGTCCTTCGAGACTGGTTGAGGGAGAGAGCGGGAGGGAGATGCAAACCTACAATTTTCAGGCTTGCCTTGAGTTGTGCTCAGAGGCTCAGAAGCTCGCCACCATAGCAGCAAAATAGGAGCTCAAACAGTACCAAACTGCGGCGGAATTCTAAATGTTGGCTTGCATGTCATTGAAGACCGCCCGCAGTGTAATTCGGTCGCGCATGATCCCAGCTGCTTGGCTTACCCTTCCAGGATACGGATGTGGGGGTTTCTTGAAGTTAAGGGTCCCTTTGCAGGAGTCCCTATTGTAGGGATTGTAGTATACCGGGTCTATATCGGGGCCGGCATTCATGGAAACCACCATGAAATCCCAGTCCATTTTCCCTTCTGCTTTTCGATTTGATTCTCCATGATTGAGGTCATATCCCTCGACCGTGAAAAATGACGATAGTAGTTTCCATTTCGGTTAAAATTCTCGTATATACCCGATATACCCCCTACATAAAAAGCCCTGTATATGGGAAACGCAGTTGGATGATTTGCCAGGCAGAGGTCTCAAGCGAGCTCCTTGGCTTGGCCCAGACCGCAGTCGACGGAGGCAACGTAGCCGCTACCTGGCTAGGAGTTGTAAATGAACAGGCGATACATGATCCTGGTCCTGGGGATGCTATACACCCCCCACCCCCCATGGTATGGGTCCCGCCCCCTCCCAGCCTAAACTTATCAAAGTGCCAACAGTCACGGGGATTGGGGGCCCCTCAGGGTCGCGATCCTCGTAACTGTTGTCGTTTTTTGATGCCTCAAAGTTGCCATCCTTGTAACCGTCATCACTTTTGGCCTCTCGTGCTTTCGTCGCGTCTCCAAAGTGCCAACAGCCACAGGGGTAGGGCGCCCCGGCGTCGCGATCCTTGTGACTGTCATCACTTTTGGACCTTCGTGTGATCTTGGCGTCTGCAAAGTGCCAACAGTCACAGGGAACGGGGGATAACCGCTAGCACCACAGGAGCCGCCAGCACCACAAAAAGCCACACGGACCACATGGGTGGCGAACCACCAGCACGACAGCTCCAAAGGGCATGGGTGGACCCATGCCATAGGGGTGGGGGATGGCAGCCCTGGATCATAGATGATTTTATACTGGCACACACACACACACCTCTCTCTCTCTATATATATCTGGAGATTTGGCGGGTCCCTGCAGGTAATGACAAAAAAAGACTCAAGGGCTACATTGGGAGAAACATTTTTTTGCAGGTTTAGGGTAGTTGTACACTAATATGAGAAAATCAGATGGACTTGGCTTGTGCAAGTAGGGATACATGTAGGGATACAACTGGAGAAAAAATGTTTCCCCACTTAGGTTTCCCCAATTGATTCCACCTTACTTTGGTTTGCTATCTGCATCCTGCAGTCTCAAGGTAATCGCTTGCGGCCAGAGAGGGGCAGGAAAGAGTTTTACACTGTGCCTTGGACCCTTTTATCTGCTGTATGCTGCTATGGCTGAGAAAACTTAGTTGGACAGTTGCCTAATGCTATCTAATTCTTTGGAAGAGGGCGGTCCCAGACACGAGCCATTTGAACTTGCAGAGGTGTGGCTCAGCGGATCAGCCAGGCGTACTGCCAAGGCTTCTGGAGGCTCCAAGGGGCCACGAGATTGGAGATTGCGTCAGATGCAGCATGCCGCACGGTGCATGTACCTCAATGAAATTGGGGTGTGTTTTTTGAGCTTCGCTTGCGGGAAGGAGTTGTTTGCCATCAAGAGCAAGGAGCACTGGCGTTCGGAGATCAACATTGATGCTCGGCTGTTTGCTCCAAATCACAGCCCAACAAAAAGCGATTTTGAAATCTGCAAATTTGTTGCGTGGCCAGCACCAATACTGATTTCGTTGTAGACCTCAGGATGTGCAAGCCCTGGAGATTGTAGACGGCGGACCGCCTACAGACCTCCTAAGCCAGGACGGTTTTCCGACCTGCGTGTCCAGTGTTCACTGAGCTGGCTGTGTCCTACTGTGTCCTTGTAGGTTGTGATGCGGTTTTTGAGGCGTGCAACGGCTTGCAAGACTATGTTTAATACATTTGTGTTGCCTTACATGGCGAGGGAGGGCCAAAATCTGCTCCTTATGCGGTGTTGATTTGCCATTCAAGTTTTGTACTTGCCAGGCATCAGAGGATGCAGAGAAGTCTGACGAACAGCGGATTGAGGCTCAGATGGGAACAGAGTTCAAAGTCCATGCATCTGATGGATGTGAGCGCACTAGATCTCCTGCGTCTGGTGCCTGGCCCGAGGGGGCGTTGGAGGTGCACTACCATCCCACCCTCCATGCACTACCCTCCCTTCACCAACCGCCCTACCCTTCCCCCATCTGCCCGTTTGACCGTGCACCCGAACCACCCGACCAGTCCCCGTTAGCACCGAAGGATTCGGGCTTGAAGTTTTCTGGGATGTAGTGTTTGAGGACTAAGATTCCAAGGTTTTGCTACTTTAGGGTCGGGTTTCCAGCCTGTGGCAAAATGGCTTCGGGTTTGCAGTAGTTTAAACTGTGTGGGGCTTTAGGGTTTTATTTGGTGTCTAGGGCTTTGGGGGGTTAGGGTGTCAGGGTGTTAGGGTGTTATGGTTTAGGTTTGGTTGGGGGTTTTGGGCTTTGTTTTTTTCGGGTTTGACGCTAAGGGCTTAAGCATAATTTTGGGATGCGGGGTGAAGGTTTTCCTTGTGGTGCTTTTGGTGGTGGTGCTGGGAGACGGGCCAGGAGGTGCCGGGAGGACCAGGAAATGGAGGACTCTGCGCGCAAGCGCCTCTGCAAGCGCCTCGTTCTCGCAGGTCACTCGCCCGTCCTTCGTCCAAGGCCTGGTCTGTACGGGCGGAGCATGGGGCTGCGACATGTTCTGCAGTTGTGCCAAAGCCAGGTGTGCCTGGTCGTCTTTGCTCGGCTGCAGCTGCCTCTATCGTTTCAGGTGCAGCAAGTCGTCGTGCGGCGAGGCTTCAGGAGCTACTCGGCTTGTGAACCCTTCGAGAAGCAAAGGCGAGTGCGATTCTGGGGGGTGAAGCCCTGCCAGCTGAGGTTGAAGGATTTGGTGCAGGACAGAAGTTGCAAAGCAGCTGATCTTCGCAGCTTGTGCTCTTGTCTTCTCAGCAGAGGGGCTGCCTAAGAGTCAGAGAGCAGGTGCCCGATGTGCTTGACAGGAAATCTGGCAGCAGCCCCTCACAAGCACAACGTCACGTCATGCAGTCCTCATCCTGCAGCTGGCCAGACGGAATCGGCTGACAGGCCAGCCCTAAGAGCGCCCAGAAGCTTAACAGTATGTTTTCTGCGCTTGTCACGTGCAGAAGGGACCATTCGCCATCTCCTGAATTTAAGTGATACCGAAGTAGGGGTCAGGGAAAACATGCTGCGCAATGGGATGTTTGAATGGGGTTCCGATTGGTGATGAACCCCAGGGCACAGTCTGTCTGTTTTCCCCGAGAGGTGTGACCTGTCGAAGCCGCCTCCTCGTTGCAGACCTGGCTGGCGCACCTTGTCTTCTCTGAAACGAAAAGTTGGTGTCTTGGGGTCATCCGATTTTGAGATGGTGTCGCGGGGCCGTCTCAATCGCGCAGTTGCATGGCCTGGCTTGGGGAAGCCTCTTTGCAACATTGGGATGCTGAAGTTGAGGCCTCCTCCCCCGCAGTGGACCGGGCACTGAGCTGGGCTGTTGCCTGTTCTGCGGGGCACCCCAGAACATCGCGGCTGCAACACGTTGAAAAGTGATGCCTGGTCGCGAGGCTACTTGCTTATACAAGGGAACGACGTCTCTGCTGAGGCTCGGCGTGGTCCACGTGGCCTCGGTGTCTCCAGTTCAAACTGGAGCCTCGGCTTGATGAGGGTAATTTTTTCAAACCCTGGCCAACTACTTTGGATCTAGCTGTCAGCTTTCAGAAGCTTGGGGGGAAAGGTCACCGGTGGCTCAGAACTCGCCCGCCGCTTCTTTGGACGGGCCTGGCAGCCAGGCGCACAAGCTCTCCTGTAAATCCTAAAAAGGAAATGTGATAGATGGCATCTGTGCCACCTTCTCTGGTCACCGGAGTGCTACGTGCATCAAGTGGCGGCCATCCTCGCAGGTGCTGGCAGCATTGCTGCAAGACTGCTTTGGGCAGGGTTGCACGGCTACAATGATTGCTGCTTGGCGTTCTCAGGCTAGCCGGAAAAGCGGCTCCATCCAACAGCTTGGGGGATGCTGCACATACTCAGCAAACCAGAATAGCATAGAAACTCAACCGCATCCAGGTATGTTTGGCACCAATGACGCCAGATCGCGAGGGTGTTCTCGCTGTGCTTGAGGCTGACAGTCAGCAACCACCCTTCAAGTTGCTGAGCTTTTGAAATCACAAGCCCAAGCCGGGCAGGCATTGGGTTTGCGCCAAAGCGTGGTGCAGACTGCTGACACACGCAACTCGGCCTGTGTTTGACACCGGCCAGAGTTTGCTTGATCAAATCTGTGCTGGCAATGCTTGTATCAGTATTTTTGGAAAAAAGCGGCGCCCTTGTATAGCCGAGGAAAAGTAGAATCCTCCTTGCCAGGATGCCAAATGTTCTAGATTCTAGAGTGACCCGTAAAACATTTGCTGAGCGAAATGGGCTGAAGATGGCAGGCGACAGGGTGCGCAGATGCACAAATTCAATGTTAAACACCCCATTAGTAGGGTGTTTAGCGGTCCCAGCAACTCAATCTTTCAAACGAAGCCTTTTGCCTATCACTGCCCGAGCAGTTTTGTCTTTGCATCCTGGTCGTGCCTGAACTTGGCCAGGGTCTGCTTGTCTGCAAGATTTTTGTTGAAGCTTACATGCTCAGCTCCGGGGATGTCAAACCTCACATGTTGGATGATGCGATCTAGGTAGCGTATTCCTTACATAACACGTGACAGCACCCAAGGAGCGGAGCGCCGCTTCCAGCCACCACCGGAACCCTTGGAGTTGCCATGTACGCCAAAGCTTCCACCGTCGCCAGTGTTGCTTGACAGTCGTTGAGGATGTAAGGCTTAGTTGGCTCAGTCCATTGTTGGACCATTGTTGGATGCGACCTCCCAATCCATCCAGGCAATTTGCTGTAAAAAATCTTCCTGTGACTTGACAAGCCTGGGTGGGTCAACAACATTGTGCGAACTGACGCTCGAGGGATACACACGTGTGCTGCTGGTGGTCAGACCCGTCGCACGTACTCAGATTGCTAGAGTGGCTCATAAAGGTGTGATATGTGCCCCTGTGGGAGAGCATGTCTAGAAGGCTGCGAGCTGTGCTGCAAGAACCCCCGCTCTCCAAGAATTTGCATTGGATGTTGGGGGACCTCTATTTTGCAATCCGTCAGGTTACTTCAGCAGATGCACTCATCGCCAGCCGACCTCCCAGTTCATGCTCCAAAGCTGCCATGTATGTTCTCGCTATTCTCACCATTTGTTGTCAGTGTCAACGGCGTCACGGGCTACAGTTGTCAAGGGAAAAGGCTGCCCGACTGTACTGCGAAGCCAAGAACTCTGCAAGGTCCAGTCGCCAACCGCACAAATGGCACGCTCTTCCTCCAACAACTCGCTGTTCACCACGTCGCATCATGCCACAGAATGTCAGATTGTGTTTGCAGATGAAACCGTACCACGTCCTCTCTGCAACCCCTCGCTTGTCTCTGAGGCACAGGAACTACACGCCCTCAGTCTCAGATTCTGAGTCTCTGGAGGAGGAAGACCTTTGAGGGCATCGAGCCAACCGCCCAACAGCGAGCAAGGCAGTCAAATGTTTGGAGGCCAATAAATTCCCAAATGAATGTTGCGTCCAATGATGTCCAATGTTTGGCCAGCGAACACCAGGCCAGCAAGCAAATAATGGGGGGACGTGTCTTTGACCCTGCCCCAAGAATCCGAAGATGCTGTATGTTCAAAACTCCTGAGTATTTCTTGTTCCCTAGGGATGGCGCTTGTCCCTGTTGCCTGCTTGCGCATGAAGACGCCAAGCTGGCATGCTTATTCTGATGCTAATGACGTCTGGACAGACAGTTTCTGCCCGATTGTGTGCTGCTCATCGCCTCCTTGATTCCAGAAGTTGCAAGGCTCCATACAGTTAGGTTGGAATTGGCGATGCTTCTGCCCACAACCACAGTGAAAGCGCGGCCCAAGGCCCCAGCTTCACATCTTGTTGACTGGAACAGTTTTTGAAGCAGCAAGTCGGGCTGTTCCCCTTCGCCTCTTTCGTTGGAAGAAAAACTGTTCCAGTGCCGCCCCCACCTCTAAGTATCCCAAGCCTTGCTGCCATAGCATACACCTGGAGAGTCACTGAGATGGGCTGTGGCACCCTGCATGCAGAATTCAGTTTTTCTCGGGCTTGGCCCATATGAAGTGTTTCACTCCAAGCAGGTTTGGTTTTCGCTGAACATGTGCAGCGCGCGCCAAAGAGAAGTCAAATTTTACGGGCTGCAGCATCACCTGATATTTACGATGCACCATACATGCATCATGTGCTCTGACGTTGCCAGATGGGAGCTCTTCGGTGAATGTTCGTGTGCTGCCGGGGCTTGCGCGCCCGTACTCACTTACGTGTCTTGTGCCTGGCTCGTTGTTGAGATTGAGCCAACCTGCATGCAGACATCTGCGCACGTGCAGAACATGGGTAGTTATGTTGAATAAGGGCCCTGCGCGAAGCCGACCAGAGTCCTGAAACCAGCATCCGATTCAAATCGGAAGACGGCTGACCATGCAAAGCGCAGGAAACTGTGAATGTGATTGGTTGCTAGCAAGTAGCTGGATACTGACATGTGAACTCTGCTCCCACCCTGATGCTCTCCATCAACGCTCGTTGCCATGGCGTCAAAAGGAAAGGGCAAAGCCGCTCAAAAGGGCAAGAGCTATGAGAAGGCTCGTGCCGGAAAAGGCCTGCTTGCATCTTGCTGCTTGCTGGGAGCGTCTGGTGGATACTGAAAAGGTTCTTGAACTTAGAAGCATGTCAATCTCTGCTGGCTGGAGAACCCTGATC